GGGAACAGGAGGGGACGGTAGGGGACCACGAACAAAGCGTGCAGGTGCTGGGTCGGGCAGGTCTCGCAGTCGCCGCCGCTCCGCCTCCTCTGGCGTCTGCTGCAACGGTACCTGCCCCTGCTGCTGCTCCTGTGGCTCCTCCTCTGCCCTCTCGTGCTGCGGCTGCTGCTGCACTCGCTGCTGCGACCGGAACTCCTCTGCTACCCTCTCCTGCTGCGGTCGTGACTCCTCTACTCTCTCCTGCTGTGTCTGTAACTGCACCTGCTGCTGCGGGCGGTACTCCTGCTCGACCCTCTCCTGGTGCGGTCGTGACTCCTCCTCTACCCTCTCCTGCTGCGACTGCAACTCTACCTGCTGCGGCTGCAACTGCACCTGCTGCTGCAGTCGTGACCCCTCCTTTGCTCTCTCCTGCTGCTGCTGTGACTCCTCCTCTACTCTCTCCTGCTGCTGCGACTGAGACTGCTCCTGCTGCTGCTGCTGCTGCTGCTGCTGCTGCTGCGCCCTCTCAAACCTCTCACGCTCCTCCCTCTCCAACCGAAGAAGACGCTGCTCACGGGTCAGGAAACGTACAGTGCGCGGTGTAGGCGCCACAGTGCCAGTGCCTCCAGCTCCAGCACCCCCAGAACCAGCACCTCCACCACCGACACCCCCAGTGTCTCCAGTACCTCCCGCAGAAACACCCCCAGGCTCCGCAGCGACCGGCCGCAGCGACGAACAAGGAGGGAACTGCGGAACAGACGGGAAACCAGGGGGTGAGGCGGGGCGAGGGCGCCGACTCGAGGCAGTGGTGTCCTCCACAGGAGGGGCCTCCACACCCACACCCCCTGCACCCCCAGAACCGGCACCACCTGCTCCAGTAGCCTCAGTACCCTCACCCTCCGCAGCTGCACCTCCCAGACCCCCAGACACGACGGGGACTGGACGCTGTGGGGGAGACGACTGCGGAGTGACGTGCGACACACCTGACGGGGCAGGACGCGAGGGTGGGGGGGCTACCGGGGCAACAGGGGGAGGGTCAGAGGTGAGGAACAGCGGGGGAGAAAAGGCCTCAGAACCTCGGTGAGGGCAACTCCTGTAGTAACAGACCGACTCGTCAAAAGTGACGTCCGGAGAAGCAAAGAACTGGTGGGTGACCGGGTCGTAGAACTGCCAGCCGGAGGCGTCCAGAGGGAAGCCAAGAAAGACACAGGCACGAGTGCGCGCAAACAACTTGTTCGCGCCAGGGGCGCGAACGTGAGCCAGAGAACCCCATACGCGGTAGTCAGCTGCTACACCTCGAGAACCTGTCCAAAGGAAGACCGGCGTCACCCGTGGCCGTGCGTCACTGGGCCACAGGTTCAGCTGGTGCGCGGCGTAGCGGACTGCCTGGGGCCACAGGAACTGGGGTGCACCGGCATGGCACATGGAGGTACGGGCAACCTCCATGACCAGGCCGATGCGACGCTCAGCTACCCCGTTCTGCTGTGGCGAGGCTGGTAGCGTGTAGGACTGGACGATCCCCTGCGCCTCACAGAACGCCGACAGGCGAGTGGAGTCAAACTCACCACCACGGTCCAAGTGTAGACGGAGTCCACAAAGGCCCTGGGCACCACCCCTCGCTAGTAGCCACGGCTCTAGGACGGTAGGCACGTCGGCCTTCCGTCGCAAGGGAAATACCGTGGTGAAGCAGGAGAAGTCGTCCACCACAATCAGGAAGAAGCGCTCCTGACGTGGGCCAAGGACAGGGGAGGGGCCCCAGACGTCCAAGTGCAGGGTCTCTAAAGGAGCCGTGGTGGGGGGAACGAAGAGGAGTGAGGGGCAGCGCGCTGCCGACCCTCGACGCAAGGAGTGCACGGCGGCGCTGGCGAGCGGGGAAGCAGGGCGAGCGACTCTGGGAGACCTGAGACCAGACGGTGACGTACCATCCTACTGAGACGTGGGAAGGACGGGTGACCAAGGCGGTGGTGCCAGAGGACCGACGGGTGGGTGAGTGACCGACAGTCGCACGACACAGCAGCTACCTGACCTGACCTGACCTGACCTGAGCGGTGAGACCCCGTGTGTAGTGAGTACAAGCCGGAGCCTGGCTCCCTGTGGAAAGTGGCAAGAGGCGCCCCAGTGACACCGACTGTGCAGGAGGCAAGAGGCTCGACCAAAGGGAAAGTGGTGACTACTCCGAGGTCGTGCAGGTGACTGACACCCACCAAGTTCCTGGAGAACGAGGGGGTGTAGTAACCTGTGAGGAACCCAGAGGGAGCCGCCGGACACGGGAGGGTGGTGGTGCTGTGAGCAACCACTGGTCCCGCCGTGGAGTCAGCTAGGGCGACAGAGACAGGAGTGCGTAGTGGTGTGAGGTCGGTGCAGTCGCGAAAGAAACAGCTGGACGCCCCAGAGTCGAGCGTGAACGACAAAGACGCAGCCCCAGTGGTCGAACCTGTGCAAGCTACGCTAGCAGGGAAAGCACTAGCAACCTCTACAGCACCTAAGCTAGACAAACAAGAGTAATAACCAGAATACTCAACACTAGAGTCATCAGCATACATCACAGAGGCAGATCGCAAAGCATGGTCTAAGTCTACTGCAGACATGTCAAACAACTGCGGACCAACGGTGCGAGCCAGCGAGCGCCAGTCAGGGGGAGTGCGACCAAGGCCAAAGTGTGCACGGTAGCGGTCCGTAAGCTGCGCAAAGCACTGGCCCGGAGGGTGGAGGCGGCCACAGGGGCCGTCTCGACGTGACCCAGTCTAAACCCAGTACTGGCAGGGAGTCAAGGCTGGACCACGCGACGACCAGCTGGACTGGCCACTGCTACGGGCAGTGCTCCCTGGTCCGGCCGACCTCCACTGCTGCTGCGGGGGCCACTGCTGGACCTGCTGCTGCTGGCCCTGGAGCAGCTGCTGCCGTGGCTGCTGCTGCTGCTGTGGCTGCTGCTGCTGCTGCTGCTGTGGCTGCTGCTGCTGCTGTGGCTGGTGCTGCTGCTGTAGCTGCTGCTGGGGCTCCACACTCCCCGAGACAGGACCCCCTCCTCCACTACCACCGGAACCGCCACCTCCTCCACTCCCTCCACCTCCTCCACTCCCTCCACCTCCTCCACTCCCTCCACCTCCTCCACCACCACCCCCACCGCCACTACCACCGCCACCACCACCTCCTCCTTTCTTGCCGCCCTTCTTGCCCCCCTTGTTGCCAGAGGCAACGGCTGCCACCTCTGTTGCAGTAGCAACAGAGGCTGAGGCCACAGAGGAGGCAAGAAAGGACGGGGCACACCCCTCAAAGATAGGGGGGAGGACAGCACCAGTAGTGGCAGCAAGAGACCGAACGGGACCCTCTACTGCAAGGAGCTTCTCCTCAAAGAGCTCAATGGTGAGAGTCGGTGGATCAACGGTGAGAAAGTGGTCACGAGCGGTTTTGAATCGGCCAGGGAGACGGGAGGCTAGCAGGTACAGGGTCATGTACATGGGGGGGGGGTTCTTGGCAAGCAAGGCAGGGTCGGTAAACGCAGCACGTAACTGAGCATCAAGGGAACGCAAGTGCAGGATCAGGTCAGCCACCCTAGTGAACGACGGGAGATCAGGAAAGAGAAAGGGGAGGATGTGGCGTCCTAGAGTCACAGTGACCGGGGTGGAATAGCGAGTGATCACAGCTTTCATCAGTGCGTGGGCCGTCTCCTCCTGCGCGAAGTGTTCCTGCTCGGTCAGCGGCAGCAGGGCAGTGATAGCAAGGATGGTTGCATTGTCACGCGCATCCCAGCGCCTAAGCTCAGTGCGACGCTGGGCATAGGCAGCCTGGGCATCTGCTGACGCATCGTCACCAAGCGGAGCGGGAGTGGGGGGGGGCTTTCAGCTCACCAGCGGCATGCTCGGAAAGAGGGATGTCATTCTCGAGACGACTGCCGAGGTAGAGCTTGAGCTTCCGCAGCCATGCCGGGAAACCGACAGGGCGACCCTCAGGGTCGAACTCCAGAACAGTCGCCATGGTAGTGGGAGGCGCCTAGGGCGAGAGAGAGGCCCTCTACGCGGTTGGGTGAGGCTAGGGACGGACGAGGGCGGCTAAGAGCAACCTGGTGCAGTTGAGTGCGTGTCTGGTGCGGTGGAGAGAGGTCTAGAGCGGTGGAAAACGATCTGGTGCGGTTGAGTGCGGTGAAGGGCGGTTGGGACAGGTTGAGAGCGGTGAAGGGCGGTTCTGGTGCGGTCGAGGGAGGTCTAGAGCGGTGGGGATCGATATCTCGCGGTTGGGAGTGTTCTACTGCAGTTGAGAGGCGGATCTGGTGCGGTTGATTGCGGTGCAGTGGTTTGGGAGCGGTTGAAAAGGGGTGGAGAGCGGTGTTGGGGTGGAGAGCGGTTGTTGGGGTAAATGGCGGCGGTCGTAGCTAGGGAGAGGCGGGATAGGGTCGTAGTAAGCCGCGGAACGCAGGGTACGGGCGGAAGGTCGCGGGGTACGGGCGGAAATGAAGGGGAACACGGGGGGTCGCGCGGGGCCAGCTAACTCGGGCCACGGGGCCGTCAATCACTGGTCGCGCGGCTCTCTACGTCGACCCTAGACAGGCCGCGAGGCCTGCTAACGAACAAGGGCCGCGGGGCCCGTGTTCTACTGTCGTTCGACGGGCGACGAGTGGGGCGCGCGAGGGAAACGGACGGGCGACGGCCAACGGGAGGGAAAAAATCGACGGGCGACGGGAGGGGAAAATCGACGGGCGACGGAAAAACGACGGGCGACGGAGAGCTGCTGACGTCGGGCGCGCTACGGGCGACGGGCGACGACCTAAGGGGCGCGCGTTAGGACGGGGCGCGCTCTAGTAGCGATTTTGGTGGGCCCAACTATCGAGAGTGAAAACGCTAGGGGAAACCCTAGCTAGGGTAAACCTAGCTCTATACCATGTTAAGAAATAAGAATGACTAGAAGTGGAAAGTACAACAAGTATATAGGAAACCTAACCCTAACCCCAACAAGTAGAAAGTACACCTAGACTAACAATAGAAGCTATAACAAATATAGCTTGACACTTTATTCGCTCCACACCCATGGCATCACGCACGGCAACATCCAACCCTCAACGGTCTTTGTGCCAGACGACGGGGTCGTGCGCCTGGTCGGCCGGACTCATCCCACCTTTCTACTGTTTTTCCCACTTCCTCTCCTCATCTTCACAGGTATTGGAGGCCCTTCACTCCCTCCACGCCCATGCCATCACCCATGGCAACATCCATCCCTCCACGGTCTTTGTGCCAGACGACGGGGTCGTGAGACTGGCTGGACTCATCCCTATGATCCATCACCCTCTCCCCCACCTTCCTCAGGTAGTAGAGGCCCTGCATTCTCTGCACGCCCACGGCTTTACCCACGGCAACGTCCGTCCCTCCACGGTCTTTGTGCCAGACGATGAGGTCCTGAGGCTGGCCAGCCTTCCCATCTGCCGTTGACTCCCCCCTCCCACGATGGGGTCGTGCGACTGGCCGGATTCTCCTATCTACCTTGCTGACCTCCCCCCACCTTGACTGTTCACTCCTGTACCCCCCTCAGGTTCTAGAGGCCCTTCAATCCCTTCATGCCCACGGCATCACCCACGTCAACATCCGTCCCTCCACGGTCTTTGTCCCTGACGATGGGGTCGTGCGGCCCCTCATTTCTTCCTTCCCCATCTGCTCTCTGCACTCTTCCTCCCCCACCTTCCTCAGGTGGTCGAGGCCCTTCACTCCCTGCACACACACAACATCACCCACGGCAACGTCCATCCCTCCACCATCTTTGTCCCTGACAATGGGGTCGTGCGCCTGTCCCTCCTCAACCCACCTTTTTACTGTTTTTGCCACTTCCTCTTCCCCATCCTCACCAGGTAGAGGCCCTTCATTCCCTTCACTCCCACAGCATCACCCACGGCAACGTCCACTCCTCCACGGTCTTTGTCCCTGGCAATGGGGTTGTGAGACTGGCCGGACTCATCCCTATGATCCCTCACCCACTCCCCCTCTCCCACCATTTGCTAGAGGCCCTTCACTCGTTGCACTCCTACGGCATCACCCACGGCAACGTCCGTCCCTCCTCTGCTCTCTTGACTGTTCCCCCACCTTCTCCTCACCCACTACCCCTCTCCCACCAGGTATTCAAGGCCGCCTTTCCCCTGAAACCATCAGAGAGGTGAGACAAGGAAATCGCATTTAGTGAAAAATTGCCCTGTAACAAATCGGTAATCTGGTGCTCGTCCTACTGCTTTGAGACCTCTCAAAACTCAACCCTCCGGCTACTCCTTTCCTTTGCGTCGTACCTGTTCCACAGGAAGTGGTGGGGCCAACGTCTGATGTCTGGGCCCTGGGGCCAACGTCTGATGTCTGGGCCCTGGGGTGCCCGGCAGTGGCCATGGCAAATGGAGCAGAGCCTTGGGCCGATATCACAGACAGTGAGCAGGTGAGCTTGGAACCACTTTCGATTTTCTTTTTGAAGCATCTTACAGTAGGCGCTGGGCTGCCTGGTGGTGGCCATGGCCGGCCGCTTGTAATGAGTCGTTTTTTTAGTCGACTGAAAATACGACATATCACAGAAAGTGAGCAGGTGAGCTTGGAACCACTTCTGATTTTCCTTGTGAAGCATCTTTCAGTAGGACTGGGCTGCGTGGTGGTGGCCGTGGCAAATGGAGCAGAGCCGTGGGCCGATATTACAGACAGCGAGCAGGTGAGATTCACTTGAACCACTTCTGAATTCCTAGTTGAAGCACCTTTCAGTAGGCGCTGGGCTGCGTGGTGGTGGCTGTGGCCGGCCGCTTGACCAGACCGGCTGATAGCAAGCACGTGAGCTTGAAATGCCTCAGCAGGATTTCCTATCAAGGGCAGGTAGCAGGGTAGTTACTAGTAAAACTCCATGATTATTTTGCTTGCCTTGCCCTGCCATTTTCAGATTTTGGTAGGATTTACCCTTTATCATTCTTTTTTTCCTTTACCCCTTTTCGCCTTCTCTGTTGTGTCAGGTGAGGCAGTTCATTGCTCACAGTCGAGACCTACTCGAGCTTCCACCTGATTCTTCACCTGACTTCACCGACTTTGTTGCGTCCTGCTTGAACCGCGACCCTTCAAAGAGGCCATCTCCGGAAGCCCTCACGAGCCATCCTTTCCTAGCCACGTCATAGATCATATGGTATCAGAATCAGACAACCCACAGCTCGCTCCGGCACGGCACCATCAGTCCAGCAGCAACCAGGACATAAGGATTTGGGTCCATTTCCTTCAAAGAGGCCATCAGCTAAAGCCCTCATGAGCCATCCATTCCTTGCAGTGTCATAGCTCCAACCAGAGTCACACAATGCACAGCTCGCTACAGCACGGCATCACCATTCCTGCTTCAACAAAATATCAGGATTCGGGATGTCGCTCATCAGAGGTGTATTTTGAGGCGCCTCAAAATACACCTCAATGCACGCGAATATCAGGATTCGGAATGTCCCTCATCAAGCGCGTCAAGACTTCGCTCCTCCAGGAATGAAGGGGAGTGTTACGATATGGAATTGTTGAATAACATTCCTAAAGTAACGAATCCTTAACGCGAAGATGACTGAGCGAGGACGAAGACCGAGCGACAAGACAGTTATCAAGACAGTTGCAAAGCAGGAAGAATTCGAAGTGCAACGCGCAGGAAAATGTTCAAACGGTTACCGGACCACGTACGGTTACCGAACCGCACGGTTGCACTCCTGCATCTAGATTAGCCCTAAGGGGAATGTACCCCCTCAGAGTACATGGCTAGCTAGGACCTTTTCGTATTCCCTCTGTATTACTATATAAACCCATGTATCGCGTTGTTATAATTACTTCTGTCGATATTCAAAACTCCTTCCTCTGACACGGTTCGTACCCGACCTCACTAGCTACACTTTCGTGCGATCAACCTGAGACGATCCTATCAACGAAGACTTACATATTGTAGCATGGTATGAGAGCTACTCAGGATTCTTCGCAACATCACCTCTGATTCAAATTCAAAATCAAGGTGGCGTCCGGTACGCGCTCCCGCCGAAGCATGGCCGGAGGATCTGGTGGGCAGGCAACTCCAACAACTGAAACTCCTGCCAACCCAGCTACAAACTCTGCGGCAAACACTACTGTCAGCAATGCGCTACTCGAGCAACTCATCCAACGCATCACCACCCTGGAGTCCGGAATTCAGCAAATGAAGAACGGAAACCCCGGAACCTCACAGCAACCCGAACAACCTGCTGCTCCCAACAAGGAACCGGCTCCAACCACATTCGATCTCGGATCGAATTTCGCCGCTCCAACCCCTGCACGTCCAAGTGACGAGGCCATGCAGACAGCCCAGAGCAAGTTCTTGGCCATTTCGAATATTCGCACAAGCACCGCCTTCCACGGACGTGATTTCTACACTTGGAGTTTCGAGCTTGAACTGCTCCTCCAAAGCGCCCAAATTTTCTGCTTCTTCGACGGAAGCTACCCAGGCCCCACAAGCGACACCGACGACGCAAAGGCCCAATACTACAACGAATCACTCATGGCGTACAGCATTCTGTTACGCAACATGACTCCAGCCGAACAACTCGGCATACGTCCGTTAAAAAACGATCCAGCCCCCGCAATGACCGCCTGGAGCTACCTCGTCAAAACCTATCAACCAAAGGATTCCGTATCCTCGATTCGCCTTCTCCAGCAGCTCCTAGAAGTCAAAATGACACCTGGGGAAAAGGCAAACGCCTATATCAACGGATGTCGCAACATCCGCGACCAGCAACAGAAGTTGGGGAATATGATACCAGAAGACATGTTCGTCACAATCGCTCTTCAAGGGCTAGGACCCCACTGGAATCCGTGCAAGGCTCTACTTCGTCAACAGGGCACAGTCACCGAAGCGCATCCCTGCGCCACGCTCCTGCACAAGCAACAAGACATTGACTTCAACAAAGAAAAGGGGGCTCGTCGCGAGCAAATCGCCTTCTACTCCGACCGTGATCAACGCCGGCCCCGCGATCCACGCATCTCTCGCGAATCACGCCCACGACAATATTACTACAAGAACTGCAAAATCTTCGGTCATTCAACCGAACGATGCCGATCCGGACCTAGACACGACCCTACGCCCCGCAACCCAATTACCAAAGGTCATGATCACTCGCGCCAGGCAGACCGACCGTCTTCGGACCATCAGACTGCCCCGCGCCAACCTCAGCCTGGCGCGCAAAGACCCCCGTACAACAACAACGTCCGCCACGTCAACGGCAACATGGCGATGCGCACTCATCACCGCACTCGGCGAACCAACCGAAGGCACCTACGGCACGTCTCTCCCCCTCCACCTGGACAAGAAGTCCAATTTCGAACCTACAACAACCCCATCACACAAGATAGGGAGTTCGTCTCTGACGAGCACGAACAGGACTGGGACCTGCCGACCCCCCTGCTCGAGTTGCCGCCACATGACGAGGATTTCGTCAACTCACCATCCATTCAAAACTACTTCTACGGACACTACATCGATACCCGACCTGTTGACAACTACCGCTGGGCCGGCGACAAGCGCATCCCTTTCCGCAACACTCCGAACCTCGCGTTCTCGGCCCAAACCCGCACCGACGCATACAACACCTGGTACCTTGACAGCTGCTGCGGTCAACACATGGTCGGCTCCAAACGGTTCATCTCCAACGCACGCCTCATCCCGCAACATACTGTTGTCACGGTGGCCAACAGCCAGCAACTCGAAGCCCGATCATGCGGCATCGTCGTACTCAAGGCGCACGACAACGACGTTCACATCACACTCAACGGCGTGCTCATCGTGCGGGACCTCAAGTACAATCTGCTCTCCTACGAGTAGCTCGCTCACAGCGGCGTACTCATGCACACAGATCCAGAAAGTCGGTGCATCCTCATGCATTGAAAAGACTACAACAAACCAGACTCCAAACCGCGCTACATCGGCCAGGCATGCCCAGACAACGGCGTCTACATCTTCGACTTCGACATTCCCGATTGTCGCGCAGACTCTGGAGACCTCATCGACCTCCAACCTCAGCACCACAACAAATTCGAGAAACCCACACACCTTGATGGACTCTCCTGGGTCAAGCACCACGCTCACCCCAGGGAAATTGATCTTCACGCACCTGGACCTGACGGAATCTGCCGCAACTGCCGCACGCCAACAGCCTCCACAACTGCGGACAGAAAGATCAGGGAAGAAGCGCCTGCGGACGTGAAGGGAAAGACACCCGCCGACGAAGCTAAATCATCAGCTGCAGCCGAACGACGCAGAGCAACTACAGAAGAAAAGGGGAAAGCCAAGGTCAGCGACGACGAGGAAGGCCAAGACCCCACTGAAGCAGAGGCATCTGACGAGGAGGAACCCGTGGTCATCCAACCCGCTGGCATGGACATTGTTGAAGAAGCAGAGTGGCAGAACCCCCACCCATCCGGCATGAGAGATGCAGAGCTCGCTGCCGCTCTCACCATCTTCCAACCACGCAAGACTCGAACTGACCCAACTGTTCACGACCGTCTCCACCTCCTCACACGCTACACAGGACCAGGCGCCTTTGACTCCAGCAACAACCCTCTGCCTCTGGATTGGGAGACTTACCACGTCACTCGTCCATGGTCTCGCCGTGACATGACCTCTGAGGAGCTCCAACGCCTCGAGGAAGAATAAAATCGTCGCCGCGTAGATGCTGAAGCAAAAGCAGTGGCGGCAGTCGCCAATGGCGGATGGGGAAACAACACCGGTGCAACAAGATGGGGAGGAACCGCACCGACAACAAGCTGGGGAGCAGGCAACAACGCAAAAGCAGGAGCATGGGGGATCGCGCAAGTAGAAGAGGAGGAAGAACCAATTGAGGAGTTCATAGCTCGCGTAGAAAAGGAAGCCGCTGACGAAGCCATAGGACCCTACAGGTCCCCACGACCACTTGACATCCCCCCCTCAGGAAACTCACCCTTCAGTGACTCCTGGACCTCCGCCACATCCTCTAGACCCCCTACTGACCGTGACACCATACTTCCCTACCGCGACTACCCTCATAGCCCACTGCCCACTGAATCCACGCCCATCGGCCCAAACGATCCACCAACAGCTGGCCAATCCACCATATACGGCCTCCCTCCACACCACGTTCCTCGCCCCCACCTTCCTGAAGGAATTGCTGAC